GCAGTAGCAATTCATCAAATGAAGCTATTAGTGTTCATAGTTCTCCACCTATTACTGTCCATAGTTCTTCATCCGAAAGTCCAACAGAAATACCAGCACCAACTGAAGACGAAGAAGAAGACGGAGAAGAAAACCAACATTTCAATTTTGAAAAATTAAAATCTAAATAATATTATATATAATGGGTTCAAGTAAATCAAAACCAGTAGAAATTGATGATGAAGAGGCTATTAAAGTAATAAAAGATATAGATGTAAATACGATAAGTGAAATGTCAAGAATTGATATTCTACAAATAAATTCATTGAAAGCAATAATCAATAAATTAGAAAAAGTTAATGAATGTAAAAAAGATAAAATATATTATAAATTACCTGCTTTGAATCTATGTAGCTATTCATTATTTTGAATTAATAATATTAAAACATAATTAATATTATTAATTGCTTATACAACTTCTTTCACTTTTTGGCGTTGATGTTGAAACAGTGCTATTTGTTTCATCTATTAAATCGTCGCGAAGCTCGCGAGCCTCTGGCGAAGCGTCTTCATCAACAAAATTATTTTGAAATCTTAATAATTCCTCGTCCGTTGCCCTCCTCTTCAATGCCTTATAAAGTTTATGTATCCAAGAATTAGTATGAAAATTATAATTACCTCTACGATACAATCCACCACATCTACATAGTTTCATTGGCATATTATTATATTATATTAAGTTAGAATATCTTTATTCATCATTTGTAATTTGAAATGCCTGTTCAAAATTGATATGAAACATTTTGTTAATGTCTTTTGAATTCATATTCACGTAGAAAAAAGAATATGGAGCAAAATTAACGGCTTGATGATACATATCTAATAATTGCTGTTTATCAACAATGGCGCTATTTTCTTCAATAAAACTCATTAATTCACTGGCATTTTTCAACCTAAAAATATATAATGAACTGGCATTTAAACGAATGATAGGCGCCAAAACATTGTATTTTTGTGTTGAACAAATTACACTTACTGCATCGTGCCTGCCTCTTGTAAATAATCCGTGTAATAATTTACTATATCTAACAAATTTAGGGTCGTCTGCGTGGTCATCTATAACGATTAATATTGAATGTAGTTTCTTTATCTTTTTAGATTTCATATAATTAATTATTTTCTTCTGTCTTTCAATTACATTTTCTAAATCACTTGGATTATAATTATCAAAATAAATTTGTTCTTTTTCATCATCCACGTGCAATTCGTCCCTGATATATTTTTTAACTTCTGTAAATGTAGGGTCGTTATGGACGCTGGGGGAAAATATAAATATTCTTGCAAATGAATTTCTATAAACATTCAATATTAAATTTTGAATAAGGACAGTCTTACCGCCTGTCGAAGAAGCAACTATAATACTTCTAAATGGTAATTTTGGCACGTGCTCATATTTGGATTGCTTGAATTCATATTCGGTTATGTTTATTGGTTTTATTATTGGAACATCTGTCATAGTTGATATTAAAGAAATATAGAAAATTATATTTAAAAATTAACTTGTAATTATTATTAAATGGAACATCATTTTTATGATATGCTGGTGGCGAATATCATAAAATGGAACAGGTTTTCCATTGCTACAATCAATAAGCATTGAAGCTAATTAGTTTGTATCTCTCTCGCGCGTGCAATGAAAACCCCAAGTGCTGTGCCCCACCAATATTCTATTATGCATGAAAATAATAAAATTAAATAATTTAAATAATTATTTTATCTTATTATTATATGACTGTTATCCATTGTAATTGTTGTAAAACTTATGATGACAAATATTTATTTAAACATCTAAATTCAAAATATCATCAGAAAATTGTACAATATAGATGGAATAAAGACGATACAATGAAAAAACTTTACAAGAAGAGAAAGGCAGAAATGAAAAATAATTTATCTTATTATTTATATGAATAGGAGTTATTCAAATTATATTAATATAATAGATGAAGTAGAAAATATAGAACAAGTAATAATTACTGATAATAAAACTAAAAAATGCTGTTATTATTCATTAGAATTAATTAAGTTTGTGATACAGTATATCAAAAATAAAATGTAAATATTAATATAAATGGTGAAAAAGAAAAAGAAAAACAAAAATAAGACAAGTTTAAGTCTATCTTCAACAGAAGATAGCGGAGAAATTGTTAAAGAAACAGCAGTAATTGAGTTTTCTTGTCCAATGTGTAAAAAGATGTTAGAAATGAAAAATGAATTAGAAATAAAAAATAATAAAAATTGTAAATGTTCATGTATTCCAACAAGTTTCAAAATAAGTAAAAATGATAAGAAAATGAGTATTGATAAAACTAAAGACAGTATCAACTTAGAAACTGATGTCCACAATATAACTTTTAAATGGGGTAAGGATGCATCACTCGCGGATAATAATGAAAACGAAACACAAGAAACTGTTAAACAAATGATGAAAAATATATAATTAAATAAATAAATATCTAAATAAATATATAGTAATGTCTGAAAATGAGAATTATACTATTAATGATTTAATGAAGAAGATAACATTAATTGGTAAAAATATCAAAAACTTAAATGATATGATTAAATCCATTGATGACAAAATGAAACCAGTTGAACGCGAACAACAAAGCAACGAAGAGAAGGAGAAAATCGAAAAGATATTTCAAGCAAAATCTATAGGAAGACCATCGGGCGACTACCCTACAAAGCAAAAGAAATACTGCGATATGTTGAATACAGGAAAAATCAAACAACCTAAAAGCACCACTTTAGAATTTTACAAAATTTCAAAAAATGATGATGGAGTATATGTATTATTTGAATAATTAATATCTAAATAATTCTAATAAATGAATTTATTAGAATTATTTAGCGGAACAAAAAGCGTCGGAACCATAGCAAAGTCGCTTGGATTTAATGTAATATCATTAGACTTGAAAAATGCTGATATCAACACTGATATTTTGGAGTGGGATTACAAACAGTTTGACAGAAACCATTTTGATTTTATTTGGAGTAGTCCTCCATGCACTGAATACAGCATAGCAAAAACTAGGGGAATTAGGAATATCGAATATGCAAATAGTATTGTCTTAAAAACTATTGAGATTATCAAATATTTCAATCCTAAATATTTTGTAATCGAAAATCCACAAACTGGATTATTAAAACATCAGGAGTTTATGGATGAGTTTGATTTTAAAGATGTAGATTACTGTAAGTATGGAATGCCTTACAGAAAACGCACTAGGCTCTGGAATAACATTACAACTTGGAAACCTAGAGAATTATGTAAAAAGGATTGTGGCAACATCAGGAATAATAAACATATTGAAACTGCGCAACGTTTGCCAAGTGGAAACAAGGAACAATGGGGAGACAATCCAACAATACATAAGCAGGAAGACCTATACAAAATACCTAGCGAATTAATTTGTGAAATCTTAGTGAGTTTGACGGATTAAAGAAACAAGACACCAGTCCCAAAAATAGGGGATTCGAGTCCCAAATGCGTGGGATTTTCGAGTCCCAAATTCGTGGGATTCGGGGATTCGGGTCCCAAGTTTAGGGGATTGGAGTCCCAACTTTCGGGGATTCGGGTCCCAATTTTCGGGGACTCCAGTCCCAATTTTCGGGGACTCCAGTCCCAAATGCATGGGATTCGGGGACTCCAGTCCCAATTTTCGGGGACTCCAGTCCCAATTTTCGGGGACTCCAGTCCCAATTTTCGGGGACTCCAGTGCCAATTTCATTTTTTCTGGAACGATTTAGTCATACTATAATAATAACATTTATACCCTTTTATGTTATGATTATAATGTAAGTATAGCGTTTTATATATTGAAGATAACATCCTACAAGGAGCACCACGCCTACATGTTGTCCATAAATTATAGGCTTGGATGTACACTTAAAGAGAGAACACCTATAAATAATAAGGATGGAAATTGAAAGAAAGTATTGTAGCAAATGCATGTTCAATCAAAAAGCCGACAAGTTTGAAGAAGGGTTTAAGACTTGCAATATATGTAGAGCAAAAAATAAAAGACACTACCACAACAACCCTGAAAAATACAGAGAATACAGAAGGGAAGATAGAAAGAACAATCCTGAAAAATACCAAGAAAGGCAAAGAGAATACATGAAGGAATACAAAACAAGAACGCATTACTGTCCATTATGTGATGTTGAAGTGCAACTAAAAAGCAAAGCAAGACACGAGAAAACAGCATGGCATCAAGGAAACCTGAGAAGAAGCGAGAACCCTGAGGAGAAACTGCCAGAACCTGATGAAATCAAAATCATAGATGGCAAAAAGCATTTTAGGTGCTTGACATGTAGAGCCAGTTTTCTACCGTATCAATGGGAGAAACACATAATGGAGAAGCATAGGGAAACTTAGAGTGATTGATACAATGATATGAACACTATTGTATCATTTACTGATTAGGAGTGATGATTTTGATATTAACCACCCTAAAATCCTACAAGGGACACGCGAGCGTTAGCGAAGCTCGCAAGCTATGCGACCACGCCCCAAAAAAATATATGATGAAACTGATGAAACGAAGGAGGGAGTGATGTTGTTGCTGTTCTATTTTTTGTCCGGGAAATGGACAAATCGTTTTTAGACAGTTCGAATATTTTTTTGATGACAAATATTTTTTGCAATATATTTTGCAAAATTTATTTTTTTGAAATGGATGAGGTGAGGAGATTGAGGAAATGACATTTTGGAGGGTAGTTGGTGAAATGAATGAGGCGAGGAGAAAGGAGAAAAGGATGGCGAAAATTTTGGAAAAATGATGATAAAAAAACGGATGAGATGGACAGAAAGGAATGTAGAAAAATGATGAAAACGAATAAGGGTAGAAGATGGAAGATGAAAAAAAATGTAGGGTGGGGGGTATGTATGAAGCAATTTATTTGCGGGGCAAGGCCCCCGACTACTCAATCACGCCATTTTTGCATGCTCGCAGGCAGAAGTCCCCGGACTACTGTCAGCCATTGTCTCGGTTTGCATCTCACGGACTTCGCAGTTACCGTTGTCACGAGGCGCTTCAAAGGCGTGTTGACCGCTGTGAAGGCAGAGACCGTGGACACCCTGCGTGAGGTCCTGAGAATTACAGCGGTCAGTAAGATCGTAAAACAGGACCAAAGACCAAAAAGCGTCAAATTGAGTTAAGGCGAGTGCTATATGCTGGAGTTGCAGATGCAGCGCGGCTCCCAGCCCAGCCACGTTTGCTCGCATCTCAACAGCGGAGGCCCAGCACAGCGGCGCCAACCTCCGAGTTGGGACCTTTGCCACAGACCGAATGCATGAACAGACTGAAGAGACTGAGAGATGGGGCACGGGGATGGCAGGGCGCCGGACGCGGAGGCGGAGTTCAGAAAACGAATTTCTGAATCGATTCGTGATGAATGTACCATGTCCTCCCAGGCCCCGACACTCGGCTCTCCGGAGGCGCCGAGAACGAGCTTTCTTCATACATGTTGCCTACCACATCTCTCTTTCTCTCTTTCTTTCTTTGCTTTGTTTTCTCTGGTTGCTGAGGCGCTCCAGGTATCGCAAGAGGCTCGTCCCGGCGCGGCTTTCGCATGTTCGAGTGGTTGTTGTCAGGCGGCCAAAGGCGGAGGCCACGCGCGGAACGGCGCAAGTGAGTGACGGTGAGAGCAAGTGGCCAGGCGTGGTAGCTCCGCCTCCTCGGCAGGTGCGAGGTGCCTTCAAGGATGCAGACCTGCGTGTGTTGTCCAGGTGATTGCGGCGATTCACACTCGCAACGTCTCTCAGGTTCGCACTGAATTCTGTTGCAATTTGCTTGATGGGAGAGTTTGTGGCAGTTGGGTGTGGAATCAGTCTTACAAATGCCAAAGGGCGCAGGTCCAATATGATCGTCAGCAGCCAAACATTTACGGTTCCCTTCGCTGGCCACAACACAATTTGTTTCGCGGCCCTTGCGGGCTGCGCTAGAATAGATGAAACACCCAAACCAAGGACAAGAGAAGCGTGACGAATGTCATAGCTCGTTGTTTGCTGTGTGCATGGAGTGAGCATGGCGAACGCCCTGTGCTCAAGCAAAGGGCGGGACGGGTGGGATGTTGATTTCATTGCCCTCTCCATGTTGATTCAGGAATGAAGCGGGGGTTTGAGGTTGATGTCGGAGTTGCGGCTCCCCGCAATGAGTCAGTGGAAAGGGCATTGAGTAGTGCCACAGCCATGGGAAGCCATATTCACAGTATGAAAATGCCGTGGGAGCTGAATGGTTTGCTGAACTCAGTATTTGGTGACGACCCAACTCCATGGCTCAGACCAGCTAAAGTGCCCAGAAGTCTGCCACCTCTTTCGAGCGAGCCGGAATCTGGCCAGACTGCGCAGATGACTGAGGTTGTTAAGAAGCAGATGGTCAAGCGTAGTTGTTTGCGTGCTGCTAGTTTCAGCGCAGATCACGAAAGGTCGAGAGTCCTTCTCCGATGGGCAGAGCTTGTTCTTCGCGCGCCGGCGGCTTCAACGTTGGGGTGTCAGCTGATGAGTGAGACAGAGAACTTAGCGGAGTCAAATAAGTGCTTTGTCACGATTGCAGACGCCTTAAGGTCCAAGGCAACGAGCACTCTCAAAACACGTGCTTCGTCCTTGGCGTTGTACTTCAGTTGGTGCGACGCCAATCTGAGCGGCACGGACTTCCTTCCTTTCCGTGAGCCTCAGGTGTATGCATATTTGTGTGACTTGAGAAGCAGAGCGTGTCCGGCTTCGAGAGGGACAACTTTCCTGAGTTCACTTACCTTTGCGCAAGAGGTTGTTGGTGTGGAAGGCGCTGCAGAGTGCGTTGTTTCAGCAAGATGTCGCGGCGCAGCTCTGGAGATGTACCTGGGCAAGCGACCTCTAAAGCAAGCAAGCGAGCTAACAACGGACATGCTGGGCGTTTTGGAGCTTGCATGTTTCATGGAGTGTGACACCTATCTGCGAGCCCTGGCCGGATTCTGTCTTGTTTGTGCCTATGGCAGACTGAGGGTTTCTGACGCCAATCGGTTGGTGCATTTGTCAGTCTTGGGGAACTTTGCAGAGGGCTCACTCATGAGAGTCAAGACTGCAAGGAGCAAGGAGAAGCAATGCTCATTTTTACCAGTTGTTATACCTGTCACTGGGATATTAGGCACAGATTGGTTTGAGGCGTTCGTCCAGACACGCAAAATGCTGGGGCTCAACGGGATTCCGACACTGGAGTCGAAAGCCTCAGACAGAAGCTTTGGATTGTTACCCCCCAGGGCTACGGTGCATCTGGACCTGTGCGACAAAGTGTCAAGCACCAAAGTCACCGAGGGTTTGCATTGTCTTCTGGGCAGGTTCTTCGACAAATCTGCCATAGATGGGGTTAGGAGCCATTCATTAAAGGCCACGATCCTCACCTTCGTGAGTGTGCATGGTTGTGACTACACCTATTCGGAACTTCTGGGGTATCATTTGACCCAACATGTGAGTGCAATCAATTATCAGCGCAAAGCACTTGCTGCTCCTATTCGGCACATGATGGTTGTTCTCAACAAAATTCAGGAGGGTTCGTTTCTGCCTTGTGCGCCCATGGGCGATGAATTTCCGCAGGGGCCAGACTTCATCTCTGCGCTGAACCAAATGCAGTCCAATTTAAGTATGAATCTTCGTGCAATTGCTGAGAGGTTCCTTGGGTGTGACTTGGACAAGGTCCTCTCATCCTCCGACGAGGCAGAGTTTCAAGCAATGTGGGATCTCCTGTGTCAGGAAAGCCGTGATATTGATCCGGTGATAGAGCCATGTGTGCAAGGCCTTTTCGGGGCTGAGGAGAACCACGAGTCAGAGCCAGACTCAGATGCTGCAGAGTCAGACAGCGAATCGGCAGAGCATGCCGTGGCTGATGTTGCACACGGAAATGAAGGTTACGGCAACTGCCGTAACGTTTCTCCCAACGCTGCAGTTGGTATGGTTCACAGACACTCCAGAACGAAAGTCCTGCATTTCGAGCATATTGAGGATAGCAACAAAACTGCGTGTGGCAGAATGTTGGGCTTGTCATACGTCAGGTTCCATGGCGACCCTGACAAAGCCTGGCCCCATTGCAGCTTCTGCTGGGGCAATGTAAATGTGTAATGGTTAAGCCATGCATGATTTCACCATGTTGATGTCATCGCTGCTGCGTGTTTAAAATGTACGAGGCGTGGGGTCTCGCATCATTCATGTTGATTGGTCTGTGAAAGCTGCGGAACACCTTGTGCTTTATAACGGTGTGGCTGACCAGACCTATTTGTGCCGCCACAGGAATTGCCTGTGAATCGCTCCGGCGCAGCAGCGCATGCGTGTCCTGTGCCGGACTCAACACCTGCACAATGTTGATGCCGAGTGTCCTGAGTATGTGCTCAGCTGGCCGATGTATGAATAATGTCCGCAAACCGCAGCAACAGGCTCGTTCTAGGAAAAAAAGAAGAAGTCGGCCATGTTGGATTCGGCAGCAGAGTTTGAGGCGCGAGCCACTGAAGTTGGAATCTTGGACGCCGAGCTGACAAAGCTGAAAGCGATGCGCTTCCACACCTTTGGGAGGCTGGCCTTTGCCAGCAAGTATGTTCCTGGGCAGTCTGATGATGGCCCATTAAAAGTCTTGGCAAGCAAGATCACTGGCGAGGACCCTGCGCCTGATGACCGTTTGCCGGTCATCAGGCGCTTGGTGTTCGAAGCTTGCACCCTGGCGGCTGCGGACATGCGCACGCGGCTCGAGCGCAAGGATGGTGATGCGCCTCGGTGCTTGGCGCACGCCGAGCGGACCTCCCGCTACACCGAGCAGTGCAAGCGGCTGAAAGGCTTGGAGTTGCCGGGGGAGCTAGAACCCTCCCACCGCCTCATAGATATTGTCTTTCAAATGGCTGAGGAGGGGCAGCTCCGCTACGTGCGCTGGGAGGAATGCACCAAGCGCGACCAGGAACTGATGGGCCTGAAGAGCGATCCTGTGTGGAAACCAGACGCCAGCGGCGTTATCAAGGAGACCAAGGTGGCAGAGGTTCTCAAAGCTGATTACAACACGGACCTCAAGCTGAAGTTCGCATTGCAGCGGAGGAGTTTGGCGTTTGACCAAGCGCGATTGGTTGACTATGAGGAGTTTGAGAAGTGGAGCCAGGTCCTTCTGGAGGCATGCACTTCACCACCGCCGGAGGGCTACAACAAGCCTAACATTGAGCAGGTCCACCGTGCTGATTTGGAATTGTTCAAGTTCATGATGCGCGAGACCAGATCCGGCATCAAGGCTGTGAATGGAGTTCAGCCCCTGGATAAGGCCTTGAAGACAGCGCTTCAAGCTCCGGCTGTTCGCCTATGTCTCCAGCCTTTACAGGGCAAGAGGCGCAATGACAGCCACGAGGATGAGCCCGACAAGAAGAAGCCCAAGGACCAGGGTGATGGTGACAGACTGAAAAGAACCATTGAGAACTTGCAAGGCCAGATTCGCAACCTCAAGGCACAGAGTTCCAACCAAGTGCCCGCAAAGAAGGGTCGAGGCAAGGGCAAGGGGAAGATTAACTTTATCCGTCTTCCGCCCAGCTTGATTGGTCTTTCTCCCACAACCCCTTCTGGCGAACCGTGCTGCTATGACTTCAACTTGCCAAAGGGCTGCAAGGCAGCACGGCCGTGGGAGCGATGTGAGAAGGGGTGGCATCTGTGCATGCGACACGGCTGTGGTCAAGCCCACTCGCAGGTTCAGCACCCAACGTCACCGTGACCTTTGCTCCTGGAGCACGCTGAGAACGAGCCTTTTGATCAGGACCTGAGCCCCGCAGCTCGTGCAGACCTTGGGGCTTCTGGGTCGAAACGCAAATTCAGTGCCATGCAGGGTGCGCCCGACTTTCAAATGTGCTTCGAACGAAAGGTTTTAACACAGTGGCGGTGGATCATTCCAAAAATCGCCATAGGCCGCTGCATGCTATTGTGCCCATTGACCTTGCAAATGATGAGTGCCCTGCCCAAGTGCAAGGTGTCTTGGATACGCCGGGTCACATTCTTTACATACATGCAGCGCCTCCTTTTGGGACTGAAACCCGTTCGCGTGGGCACAGGATCCTGCAGCATGTGCCGCGCAGAGGCGCGCCGCGCTCGCAGCCGTTGCGGTCTGCCAAGTATCCGCATGGCCTTCCGAACCTCACGAATGTGCAGCTACAGCGAGTTCGCGCTGCTAATTGCATTTACAGGAATGTTTGCAAAATTATCCGCACTTTGGGAAAGCATGCCATAATCACCATTGAGCACCCACTTCGCTCTCACATGTGGCACACACGCTGGTTCAAGGCCCTCATCCGCGATTTTGGGTTGTTTCCGGTGAGCTTCCAACAATGTATGCACGGCGGCCGTCGGGACAAATGGTGCACACTTTACACAAACGAACAGGATATGCGTTGCCTGGCATTGCAGTGCGACAATTCCCACGAGCACTTGCCTTGGAATCACGGGGCGGAGAATCGCCAGTGGGTTTTCCACGCGGCTGCCGCGGCAGAATATCCGCAAGGTTTGTGTGAACGTATCTCCCATGTCATTGCTCAAAGGGCTTGTGCAGCTGGAGTTTCCTTTCCCTTTGCAGCCCCAGAATTGCCAGCTACCAGCATAAGGGCTAAACTTTGTGCAGCAGAAGCAGGGCGGCAGCCGCGAGGCAATATGATGCCTCAAATCATCTCGGAGTTCAAAGAAATTCGGTCGGTTCCTTGCCTCGAAAGACCTCCTCCAGGCAAAGTCACAGCTGAGTTTGCAGCAGCTCATGGCATTCCTGTGCTTGCCAAAGTGTTGCCTGTTAAGCGGGGTAGTCCGGAGGCAGCAGCAAGCTCGAATGCCAGCGCTGCCGTCGATGTGGGTATTTGGAGAACTCCGGATGAGTTTGTTAATGAAGCAATCAAAGTCAGGCACCCGTTTGACGATGACTCCACGGTTTCTGATTATGCAAAGAGGGCAATGTTTCGCCTCCTCACTAGAGGGCGTCTCTGCATTCGTGATGAGCGCGAGGCGTTGTTTACACATTATGAGGAGGTAGGGCGTTCTCTTGCGGAAGCTGAGGCAAAGATTCACGCGTCGTTGGATCCGGATAGAGCTGCAATCATCTCTGAGAAACAAATTTTACTCCTGCAGAGAATGGCAGCTGACGCCGGAATTGATGATGACGGCCTTGCAGATTTAGTTGCCAATGGCGTTCCCTTGACGGGTGTGTCTGGACGCACTGGCCAATTTGCTGAGGCTGACGCTCGGCCATCCATGAGCGATGCGCAACTCATGAAGTCCACCAGGTGGACGCGGAACGCGATTCTGAACAAGCGCCCCATAGATTGCGGGGAAGATGTTCGCAGCGCTGTTTGGCAGAGCGCTTTGGACGAAACAGCCAAAGGATGGTTGCAGGGCCCACACAGCAAGGAGGAGCTCGGTAGGAAACTGGGTCCCCTCTTCGTTGTCTCCAGAAGGTTTGGGCTCCAGCAGCAGCAGCAGAGCAAGATACGTCCAATTGACAACATGTCTGAGTCACTGGTCAACGCAGCCTTTGCAGCGTCATACAAGCTGGAACTGACTGGTGTTGACGGCGTTGCCGTGCTTCCAGCGACTTTTGCTCATGCCAACCTTGAGGCATCTGGGCCTGCTGGCATTGAGGTACTCGCTCACCCAGCCCAGCTCTGCTGCCAGGACCTCATCCACTTCTGTGTTTAGCGACTTGCTGGCAGCCCTGCTCTGGAAAGCTCTGAGGTTAGCCGCCAACACTCGGCCAAAGGTATGTGTTTCGGCAAACTGCAGCCTCCCGCGTAGCGCAAGAGCTTGGTGCGATGGGAGCGAATTGCAAGCAAGAATTGCATTGATCTCATCCGAAATTGCAAGCACACGTGAAACTTTGTTGCGAACGACGACATCACCAAGGGCAGATCTTGATAGGTCGAATGTGACACCCAATGCGTCGAAGCACGGCCTCATAGGCTGGCGCTTGGCCTCCTTGACTGAGTACTGCCAACCAAGCATATCAAAGAGCCTCTCAGCCGCTTGCTGCGCGTCATTTCCACAAACTGCCAAGTCAAGTTGGGGGTAATCATCAAAATAATTACCCGCTCGCCGATGCCATGAAGCGCCCGGGCACAGCGGTTAAACCCATACACCGACGCTGACGCCCCGAAGGGCAGGGCCTGCGCCACGAACAACTGCTTTTGCGCCTGAGGGTTTTCAACAGCAAGCGCTGAAGTCCACAGCGAAGATTTGGCCACAAGCAATTGTTTGTACGCTGCGTCCAAGTCCAAGGTCCTACCGCACAGCCGCCTGGCTTCGCCATGAACAAACGACGCATGAAGAGCACCGTCTAAAACCTCTCCCGAGCTCAGGATGAGCCGCACATAACCGTCTGAAGAAGCTGCTTCCAGGAACGTGCGGGATACATTGGCATGGTGGCTTTGCGTGTTGTAGCGGGCCAGGTTGTTGAGAGCCGATTTTTCGCAGAAGAAATTCCTGGGTTCCTGATGGAGCGGTGGCAAAAACGCACCAGGAAGATCATAGGCTTACTCGAACTGTTTGCTGCTGTGCTAGCCGTGGAGATGCTTTCCAATTCAATCAAGCAGGAGCGAATCTTCTTGTATGTTGATAATGAGTCCGCCAGCTCGTCACTTATTTCCATGTACAGTCCTTTGGAGGCGCACAACAATCTTCTTAGAAGATTTCAGCGCGTGGTCATGAGTGCGGGGCTGTTTGTTTGGACAGCGCGCGTGCCCTCTGCATCTAACATAGCTGACGCACCTTCGAGGGCGGTTGTGCAACCATTAATTCAGTCAGGGTCGCATCGCGTGCCGATCCGTTGGTCTGAGATCGAGTTTCCCTAAAGGCATGAAAGGGTATGTTGATGTCTCCATGCACTCGTGCTTGTATGCTAAAGGGGGATGTCGACCAAGCACTCGTATCGATGTGATACTTGCTCGAGTTTATGTCCTACTCATGTGGATGTGCATGTTGATTCCGGTGCTGGGTTTTGCTCGATTAGTTCGAGGACATTTGGCGCACCCCATGATCGAAAATGCTGATTTGCCTGCAAGCGCAGGGCATGGATTCAGCTAACAAGAGAAGCGTGACGAATGTCATAGCTCGTTGTTTGCTGTGTGCATGGAGTGAGCATGGCGAACGCCCTGTGCTCAAGCAAAGGGCGGGACGGGTGGGATGTTGATTTCATTGCCCTCTCCATGTTGATTCAGGAATGCCCACCCACCCAAATCCCTTCAACATGTCGCGGGGATGTCGACCAAGCACTCGTATCGATG